TGCATTATGTAAAGGTACAATTCCCGATGAGAAATGTAATTGTGTTGTATACCTACAATGTACCAATAAAAGAATTTAATACAAAAAAAAAAAGAGAAACATTGTCATCACGCAGGCAGGCTTGCCTCAGAACAAAGAGTATTTGGTCACATCCTTTCGCTGTCCCTGAGGGGAAGGGCAGATAAAAACAAAAGTGCCAATTCTGAAAGCTCAGGGAACTGGGGAACTCAAGAAACAACTAACTATTGTACACCAAAAGGTTGAGCGCACCAAAAACCTCCTCAGCTGCTTTCCTGTCCAGTTGTGGTTTTCAAGAGTTGTACCAACAGTAAAGTTAAAATACAGCTTCTGAGCCAAATCCAGACCACCTCAACTATAATGCTTTAGAAGCCTCAGAAATTTAGGCACACATGCTTGGTAACCAAATTCTTGGGGAATTCGTTTACTAGGAGAATGGGTGTCAGATGACTGTAGGGCAAGAAGAGTAATCACAAGGTGGATGCCAAGAAACTATGATACTCTGATGCTCATATCTCCAGACTAGGGCATCCATTCTCAAGGAAATGACTGTAATAATCACAGTTATTATTTACCTAATTTTTTAGTGCTTTCCATGTGTTAAGCCCTGTTTTCTAGATACTTTACATTATTAGCTGATTTACTACCCATAACAACTTTTGAGATGGGCACTCTTATCCCTATTTTATAAACGAGTAACTCGCCTGAGGTCCAGGGTTGGCAATGTGTGGGTCGCAGGGTCAGAGAACCCCATTTCCCTGGATGAGGCCAGAAACACAGCAGCAAACCAACACATATTTTCTCTTACAATGTCCTGTTTATGGACACCCTGAAGACTCCACAAGCTTTAAATCTTATACTTTTCAATTGTATTTCCCAGTCTATATCCTGGTAACTTTAATTAGATTTCAGAGCTGTCCTGAGACCCTTTCCTGTATTTGTGAGATACCATGGTCTCTGAGTGATTCTGGGAAATATTCCAGACCCTAGCATTTAACATGATGGTCACTTTAAGTCAGAACATCGATCTTAAGTCAGTTTCAGTTATAGAAGGGGCTTAGCCAAATCTTCACCCCCACACACACTGAGGCTGACCCTTTGTGGAGGGTGGTCTCTGTCCTTTAAATTAGTTTTTTTAATACACTAACAAAAATACACACACACATACCACACACATACACACACACATCCTTCTCTCCCATGGACTAATATATAGTTAGTTTGATTTTTTTTTCCCCCCAGTAATTTTGCCCAGTGGAAAAGAAGTATGAAAGGGAAACTTTTTTTAAAGGATTCTGGGTCAGAGACCTGATCTGAATGTAATATAGTTGAGAACTGACACAGGAGTTCATGTAACTTCCAGAAGCAAGTTGCCCAGAATTCCCAAAGAAAGAAATGGATGTGAGTGGGAAGTCCAGGGGCAAAGATCAAGGGGCTGTCACCAACCCACAAAGGCTGCTGTCCCCCTCATTCCAAGGGTCTGTGCCCCAAGGCCAGCCTGGGACAGCCATTCTCAGGGGCTTCCTGTCACAGCCCCCCACCCCTGCCCCAGGGTCCACAGCCACACAGAAAGCTCCACCTGAGAGTCAGCTCCTGGGGTGGCATCAGAGCTCTTTGGAAATCATCCCATCCTCCTCCTCAGAGATTCCTATTTCCTCACAATATGTGGTTTAGGGGAAAAAAATATTACAATAGCAATTTCCTGTGTAAACAGATGCTTATTATTTTAGAAAAACAACAGATAACTACGATATTCTAGGTAATTTCTCCAAATATCTGTTGGAAATGGATGATTTCCTGAAGCACTGCACTGAGAAAATCAGTGGGACTTTGTCCAAGCCCACCTGAAACAAGTGCAGCCATCACTTAGCAATGTCTGCCTCCACTACTGCCAAATCAGGAGATCCCACTGTGTCTGTTTGGTATTTGGTCTCACGATGAGCACAGCCAAATATTTTTAGGGGCTGAATTCATGAGACCGTAAAAGAAAACTGCAAACTTGCAAAGAATTCTTACTACTTGGAAAAAAGTATAAATGACTGCAATGTCTTAGATCTAACAAAACTTATGCCAAGATTCCCAAAGACAATGGGAGAGAAGACAATCAGATGGTGGCCGAAGGGCCAAGGAAAGTTCAAAATAAAGCAATTTTTATACCCATTTTTACTTTTTAGGTAAGTCACTATTATTTTAAAGTTCAAATTCTATTAAAGAAAGTACTGTATGAGATTTTTAAGCTTCTTGAGTGGGAGTCATGGGTTAGAAAGATTCAGAAATAGTAATTTAGACTCTCAAATATTAAAGACATGACTTTTTCTAGGACCACTAAAAATATTTTGCTAAAAACTAGCATCTAGCTGGGTGTGGTGGCACATGCCTGCAATCTTAGCACTCAGGAGGCTAAGGCAGGAGGATCACTGTGAGTTTGAGGCCAACCTGGGATACATAGTGAGTTAAAGTCCAGCTTGAACTACATAGCAAGACCTTGTCTCAAAAAAAACAAAAAATAAAATTCAATAAAAAATTATTTTTCAAAAGTAATGATTTAGAGGAAAGAATCAGAAGGATACATGTTCCTGTCATGTCTTCATCATACTATTTGATCTGATAAATAATAAAGATCATTTTTAAAATAAAGATCATTTTTACTTTATAATTTAAATAACAGCTCAAAGAAAATCAGTTACTGCCCTCATGCTTATTTTAGGTTCTAACACACCATTATGAACAACAGGAAAATATAAATTATAAGCCCAGCTTAGACTACACAAGCATTTTCACTAGGATCTGTTCATGTTTGTGTGATGGTTAAAAAGGGCTTCGAATACAGCTGACCTACTAGAAATAGAAAGTGTATCAGCTCAAGAATCAAAGGACCAGGTTCCAGTTCTGGCTCTGACAGAACTGGCTGTTCCTTGGCCAAGTCCCAGGACCCAACTGAACCTTGCCCTGAACAAGTGGAAAAACGACCAGGTTGTCAGACTGTCTCAGATACTTGTCGAGAGTTCACCGCTCTGTGCTTCTGAACTGCAGCTACACAGCCTGAAGAAGATTACAGAATGTGTTTAATAACATTCTGAAAGGAAAAGTGTTACAAGTTTTTGGCTAGAGTCAAAAGTAATCAGAAATAGATGAGAGAACAGAAGTAGTCAAATGTATCCTACAAAGCTAATTGAGAACAAAGACAACTCCCAAAAATTTGAACAGTAAAGTTAATTATTAGCATAAATGGTGAACAAAGAAAAGAGAAAAAAGCCTTCATTTGACAAATCTGGAATAGAAGAAAATAGAATAACCAAGGACAGAGTGCTCTCGCACACCAAGGGCACAGTGACAGAGGGAGGGCTTAATAGCTTAGAAACAAATTTGAGAGTAGCACAGAGCTTCATAACAATATTCTTAGAGTAAAACATTACTTTATGACCATATATTTCATAAAACACTAGTTTATTTAAGATATGATGCTCACCTGCAGCATTCACAATTCTGTTTGCTGTAATAGATCCTTGTGGCGTTTCAACATCCCATGTTCCATCTAACCTGGGTTTCAGAGAAGTCACAGGTGCAGGATATTTTAAAAGGGCCCCATATTTCCTAGCCCCAGCAGCCAAGGCCATCGTTAGAGAATAAGGATCAATGTGACCATCTCCAGGGTTATACAGTCCAGCTAAAATCTAAATCAATCATATGAGAGTCAATATTCAAACAAATATATATTACTTGGCATAAATATATATGGCCAGCAAATGTTTAATAAAGCTGAACTTTCAAAGTGTACCTTTGAAAGCTCGATCAGGCTTGCACATCTTAGTTTTCCTAAGTCCTGCTCAGACCTGGGTAGTATTTGCACCAGTGTTAAGTAGGCAGGCTAATGAAGAGAAGCTTGCGATTGTTTCCGAAATCCCTCTCCCTTCCCCCATGGTAATGGAACTCCAGCATTTATTTGGACACATGGCCACTAAGAATAAAGAGTACAGTTTCCAACCTGCCTGGCAGCTATTGCTTCCAGCTGGTACCTAAAACTACTACTAAGTTCTGGTCAACAGAAATGCAAATAAAATGCCGTGTGTCAGCTCCCACAAACCATTTTTAAAAGACGACTGGCACATGTCTTTCTTCTTTGTCCCTTCCTCCATCCTGCTGTCTGCAATGCAAGAGGGCTAGAGTTTGCACTGCTGGTGAAATCATATTACTATTGTGTCACAAGAGTCACCCCCCAGGGGTGACAGAGGAGTGGTCTGGAAGGTGACTGGGTCCCTGAAGTTTTTATGAAAAAGAGTACCTGTTTCAGACATGGACAGCTTAAATGAAAGGGAAAAAAACTCTTACATTTTATTTAAACATTACTATTTTGGTTTCTGACATTTAAAGCCAAATCTAACTCTAACTACCACAGCGGCTATAATTTATATTTAATTATTTAACATTATTAATAAATTCATATATTAAATCCACTGTCAGAAAAATTTATACAAGCTTGATTCAAAATTCCACAACTGTGCTCGCTTCGGCAGCACATATACAAAATTCCACGACTAATTTTTGTATGCCAACTTTATGTTAAGGCTTCAGGCTAGATACTGTGTGGGGACAGAAGAGCGGAACTAAGAGGAAATTAGTTGAAAGAATGAACACAATGAAATATTATAATTTTAGGTTTCACCTACCCCCCAAAAATCTATTTATCACCAAAAATGAACGAAGAGCTCTTTTTTTTTTTTTTTTTGTACCGGGGATCGAACTCTGGTCCTTGCACTTGCCCA